AAAAAAAAAAAAGCTCTGAGGAAATAAAGCAGGGTAGTGGATAGAAAGTGACTGGCCAAAGAGGAGAAGTTAAGTTTAGCAGGTCAGGAAGATCTCAGGGGATGGCACCGAATCTGAAATCTGAATAACGCGAAAGACTTGCAGACAAGGGGTATTCCAGGGACAAGAAACAGCTCATGCTCCTCCACCCCAGCTGCCTCCTGCTTTCCTCTTGGCACCGCTGGTACCTTCTCATCTCAGCCTGAAGATCACTTCTGTTTATAGATTTCTCTGTCTGCCTAATCTAAAGTAGCCCATTCCTGCCCTCACAGTCCCTACCTAGCCTAGTCCTTTAAAGAATTTACAATTTTCAGTAAGTTGCTTCTTGTTTACTTGTTTGTGGTAAGTCCCCAGTAAGCTATAATACCCATGAAAATAGGGGCATGTCCCTCTGTTTCTTGAATATTTTCATAGAACTATGATTATTCAACATTCAAAAATAATTGCTAAATGAGTAAATGCATGAATTAAAATAGTTTTCCCAGTCCAGAGGCTGAAAGTGTGACCACAAATGCCTGGAGTGGGACAGGTTCCTATGTCCAATTCCTGATGGGTCCAGACCACTGCTGCCCTTCTCGCTACAGGCTGGGTTTAGGGCCATCCGCTTTCCAGACGTTTCATTTTCAGAGGCTCTTTGGAACTTCCTGGACTCTGAACTTAGGTCAGTGCTGCCTTGTCCACCCCAACAAGTTGCCATAAATTCAAATCCCAGAATGAGAGACTTTGAGGTACTGGTCCTTTTTCCTTAAAGAACTCTCTTGGGATTCTTACACAAAATTTTGTCTTTGTTTTAGTTGTTTTTAGGACTCCCATTTTATTCTTGGTAACTTGATTGTTTGGTCATGTCCCCTAATAAGTGAAATGTTACATTGGAGTATTTGTTTAAACGCCGCAGCTTCAGATATGTAAGTTGATGAATGATTTTTGCTAAAGGCACACATTCGATAATTCCTATAATGTGAAATCTCAGCCAGATTTAATGTTCCCTGGGAATCATTCTGAAATTATTACAGACACTCTGTATTCCACTCCCTGGGCTTGGAATTAATTTCAAAGCAGAGTAAAAGTGCATCCATTTGGATGCCTTGGAGGAGTTCAGATGGGTAACATTCCATTCATCCTGAAGTTTCTGAAGTTTAAAATAACTTTTCACTTTATTGCATTTGATCTGGGTTCAGTAGGTACAAAATTCTACCTCTTTCTCCTACTACTGTCAAATTCTTTGTTTTGTTTCTTTTTGTTTGTTTTGGAGGTGAGGTAATTAGGTTTATTTATTTATGTTAACTTTTTTTAATGGAGGTACTGGGGATTGAACCTAGGACCTTGTGCATGTTAAGCATGCACTCTACCACTGAGCTATACCCTCCCCGCCTCAAATTCTTCATTTAAAAAAATTTTTTTAATTGTATTTCATTAGATTCCACCTCCTATGAACAATGACAGCAATTGTCAATTGTAGTGTGTTTACCAGGTACCAGACACTTGAAACACATTGTCATGAACCCTCACTACAAGCCTGCAAGGTAGGAATTCTTTTCCTACTTTTCAGATTGGGAAACAGTTAAGCAGGTAGAGTAACTTCCACAGTCCCATCCAAGGGGTGAATTGTAGAGCAGGTACTCAGATCCCCGAGTCTAGATTTGATGGTTTTCCTTCCACCTCTATTGCCTTCGTGTTGACCCACTCATCATATGGCTTGCTTCCAACCCTGAAACCCAAAACTTTCTGAAAACCAAAAAACTTTCTGCAAAAATCTGACCTGACTTGACCTGAACTCATTTGTGAGGCAAACTTGACCTGACCTGATGTAAAGCCCATTATAGTCCTTATTTATTCTACTTATTATGACTATTCATACATTTTGCTATAAAAATAGTAATGTGTTCAATTACAGGGTGACCCACCCAGGCCTCCTAGGGACATTACTTATATAATCTTTGCACTGTAATGATCTTATAAGATCTTAACAATTTTAAACTCTGAAGCACACGTGGCCCCCAGGGTTTCGATCAGCAACTGGGAATCAGTAAGAAGTTATATTTGTGAATGACTCTGTAGTTCACAAAGCTTTTTAAAAGTTGAAGTCATTTTATCCTATTTTCCTCTCATGCATAAGGAGGAATTTAGGGACTTTTAAAGTATGCCTTATTTTCTTGCTTTCTCTAAAGCAGCTTAATTCTGTGATTTCAAGGTATTAGCTGCTCTTGAATCCAACAGAAGTGTGAAATTATTTGTTCTCGCCAAAAGACATTTAACTTTTAAATTAAATAACATGTTACAGAGAAAAGGTGAGGGCCAAAAAAGTATATATAGAATAATACCATCTGTATTTTTTGAAAATGATAAGTATGGTTCTCTCTGGGATGATGGGAGGGAGTTTGTTTCATTTTGTACCCTTTCATATCTTTAAGTTTAGAAACATGTGAACTTATTACCATTCAAAAAATTAAAGTCACAAGTTAAGATATCCATGAATGATTTTTCACAATGTGAAAGGCTCATGATACAAACGCTACCCAAGTCAGCTGAGTTCCAAGTGCACACACAGCCTGGTGTTGCTCAGAGTGGGGCACATAGTTAATGGCCCATGTTCTTCTTGCTTTCACCTTTTTCCCATTTAGGCCAGATGTTTTTCCACACTTTTTTTTGATTGAACTATAGTCAGTTGCAATGTGTCAATTTCTATATTCAATATCTTGTAATAACATTTAATGAAAAAGAATATGAAAATGAATATACATGTATATACGCATATCTGGGACATTATGCTGTATGCCACACATTTTCGACCACCAAAGAGCACACACTGACCTTTATTCTGGCCTGTGCCAGCATGCCCTCTCCCTCTGTTGCTCATATCCCCGGCCTCAACTCTCAGCCTCTGGTCCAAGCAGTCATATGAGCCTGAACTCAACTAATGGTCAGTATCAGCTCACAGAACAGGGTAGAATAAGGGGATTCCAGACTGGAGGCTGAGCTATGCTGGCAGGCAGGGGATGGGCAGAGCAGAGACAAGACTCCTGAGGCAGGCAGCAGTCAGACTGTGATGACCAACCCCAGACAAAGACAAGGTCAGAGTCCAAGTGGGAGGGCTGGGGCTGAGGTTCAGAGGGCGGAGCTGCTCCAGATGCCACCGGACAGAACTGACCCGGGCATACAGGTGTAGATTTGACATTCAAGCTGGGCACTAGAAACAGAGTTCAGCTTCCAGAAAAGACAGGTTCACACATGTCTACTCCAGAATGAAACTCTGACATTCCCCTTGGACTGGCTTTCAGCACTTTTCCTGCCGAGGACAAATCAGAGAGGAGCAGGATTCTGTAAGTGCTGCTTGGAGCATGTGGTTCTCTCCCCTTGCACATGCAGTGATGTCTAGCCCAATTTTATACCCTAAGAAGACATCCCAACAAGCTTTTTCCATCCATCCCCTGGAGCTGGGTTGAAGAATTTGAGGGGCAGCCCTGATGGTTAAGGAGGTGGGCTGGTGACCTCAAAGGCGGTGTGTGAGTAACTGTGAGTCACAAAAATCAATCCATCGTTAATTTCAACAACCAGAAGTTGTGGTGCTTTAAGCAGTGCCTGACCACCATGGTACCACTTGTCTTATTCCTTGTTCATACCGTAATGAAGGGATTAAGTTGTGCTCAATTTAGCTTTGCCCAGACACTGTGGTTCAAGTTCTCCGTCAGTAGCTGCATTTCTATCCTGCTCAATTTAGTAGGTTTAAACATCTCTGAGGTACATCCATTTATCATCAGTCTTTGCACTGGTTCCGTAACAGCCTTACAAGTAAGAAAAATAATTTATCAGTTCCTCGCCTCTAGGGTCTCGGCAGAGATCTTGAAAAGAACCGGATTTTCAAGCTCACTTTGGGAAAGGCCAGCAGGAAGGGGACTGAAAGCAGATTGTAAATCAATTGCTTTAGGCAGGACACCTGCCCTGTCAGTCTTAGCAACATCCAAATGGAAAAATGGGTGATCTAGGATTACCCTCGCGCAATGCCAATGACCAAGGCACTGAAAGGTCACATCTATTATTGTTGGCGTTTCTCTCCCCACTGGGCTGTTTTTTGAGTGGATGTCATATTCATCTCATACAGAAGGCATGTGCATCATGCCAGAACATTGCTGCTAATATTTGATCTAATAAAAGACACCCTATCTTTTCTTCAAACTTTATGATGTCTAGCTGCCACTAAGGAATGGTTCCTTTCTTCGTCACCACTCCAATTTTATGTTTTAAGGACTTGAATCCTTAAGCAAAGTTGCATTTGCCACCTCTTATCTTAAAGTTAAAATATTCCTTTAAAAAACAGGGTAACCAGCTAATACATGGCACAGTCAGCCCAATTTCCAGAAGTGACTTGATGTCAATAGTCAATGCTCCTTTGGAAGGAGCACTGGTATTTACTAATAATACCATGTTCACCAAAAAATAGCTTGGCGCTTTATAAGTAGTATCAGAAGTGGGAGAAGGATGAGCAACACAATCTTAACCAAAAAAAACAAACAACAAAATTAGGACAGAAAAGGCTAACAGCAGCTGGTGTCGGCTGCAAGCAAACACACAGTTGAATCCTGCCCGACTCTGCAGGCGGATCTCTGAGAATTCTTGCAGTCTGGGACAGAAGTAGCAAAAGGCCGCATTGTAGGAATGTCAAATGTAAGCCCAGCTAGCTGGCACCCCCAGAAATTACCAACAGGGGGAACTGATAACATTTGCCAGAAATTCATCTTCCCCGATCATATTGTTACATAAAATCAGTCTTGTTTGTTCTAGGAAATCCGTGCCCCCAAGCTTCATTCTGCCTGGACCTTGATTCTTAGTGACCAAGGCCCTTGAGGGCTCCATTGGCCTCTGTGGATCTCCTTTCTAAAAGTGTTATTGACTTGAACCTGGGGTGGGGGTGGGGGCGGTTCCTGGAGTTCTTTCTCACCAGACTGGTTCCGGCTGCCTCCTGGGTGATGATGGAAAACTAAGGCACTTGCCAGCATGTCCTTCCCTTACTTTGTGATCCTCAGGCAGGGGCACGAAGGTTATGTGGAACTTTACCAAGTAGTTAAAGGCAGAGTCCAGGGCAGTCTTAAAGGATGTTGGGCTGTTACTGCAAGGCCAAAGTGTTGCATATTAAGGAAGTCCACTGCAGGGCCGGATAAACGCGGGATGAGGAAGGCTGTCAACACCTTTTTCACTCTTCGCCCTGAAGGTTGGAAGCCCAAGGTGTTTCAAGTCGCAGTTGAGAATTGGTCCCCAAAGCCTCTCCAGTTTTCTGATTTCAGAAAGGAGCTGTAAGAGACCCCCGGAAAAGTCCCTGTGCACTCTTGCTATGGGAGTCGTTGCTGAAGGAAGATTGTATTTTATCAGAGATCTTTAAGATTCCTTAAAAGTCATCACTAACTTACAGCCAAATCCATCTTAGAGATCAACTTAGTATAAGATATGTATTTAGTTATGCATTTATCTCATTTGCCTAGAGCAACATGAAAAAAATTTAAAGAAAAGCAGAGAAAAATTCAGAATAAGACAGATGGCCTCTAGCAACTAACTTAATCATGCAAGTAAGCTTCCGCACAGGAGAGACTGGATCTGGAGGGACTTTCATTAAAATCTTGCTATTTTGCCTTTAGCTAAAAGGACAAGAATGTCTCTGAAATCTGGTTGGAGGGAAACTAATGTAAATTTACTTTTTCTTCTTCCTGCCTGAGCAACCTAAGACCAGAGGATCTGTTACATTCCATCCTGTGTTCTGATCCTTTAGCCTTAGGACTAGAAGAAATTAAGCAGATTTTGGTGGAAATGTGGAAATATGTGTTCACCAGCAATGCTGGAACCAGGGAGTTTTGAAATCATGTGAGAAATGTGGGAAGGGTGGGCATCGAAGGAGCCTCAGGAGGGAGTATGACAGTTCTGTGGGCCTGGACAGGCTGGCTGTGGACATGCAAAAAAAACCCCACAGCATCCAGTCACTCAGGAGAGATGACGGCCCATATTACACCTTGACACACACCCCTCACCCCTATGGACAAAACCGAGCATTGTATATGCAGACATTAAGAAGCCTATTTTAGGGAAACTACAAAGACTGTTTTGGGATAATAACTAACCTTATCACTAAACTCTTTTTTAATAATGGAATGTAAAGTGATGAAAGAAAAGCTATTTTTAGTTAGATTTTATAATGTGTCACTGGAAAGGATCATTAACACAGAGTTGGAAGACAATATTCTAACACGTACACCTGACTTTGGGTAAGTGGCTTACCTTTCTCATCTGGGAAAGCCTCTTTGTTCCTTTTAAAAAGGAATGCTAACATTTGTTCCCAGCTCACGATCTTCTTAAAAGTTCTAAGATCATGGGAGTCAAAGTACAGTGAGTAAAATCTCCCATTCTATGGGCAATTTTAGAGGAAAGAATTTCTTTCTAGAAAAGCATCTGTAATCATTCCATTTATTCCTTACCCATTTCTTAGAAAAAGCCTGAGGGAGGGTACTGTTCCATAGTTTTCAGGCTGACTAGCCTGTATACTTCATTAATCAAAGTCTTGGAAGGTCTGACACAAACCTGTGTCCTCAACTCTTGGGGGCACTTAACTCTCCCATCCTATTTAATCACAACCCACGCCATTTTCCATTATTAATAGTACACTGAGTGAAAAAATAATAGCTATCTCTACTGTGCATCTGTTATGTGTCTTTATCTCTAATCCTCATTTTTTGAAAAAGGAAGACCTTCAAGGTGAGTACGATTATTAACCCAGTTCACAATAAAGAAATAGAATGACTCAGAGAAATTGGGATAGACAGATAGGCAAGGTTTAGAGAACACTAACACCTGAAAATCGAGGTGAAGC